GAAGCGTCTCCAAGCCTGAAAGCTTTGACAGCCATCAAGTCCATACACTATATCAGTCATAAATAACTATATAAATACAAAATAAAAGTTTAAATTGCACTTTAATAAATCCATCCATGTCTTTTCACTCTGTTTTATTTTTTAGTAATTCTGTTTTATACAGACAGAAATAAAGCAGGATGACCACTGCTCCACCCCTTAATTTTTGCTAAGGTGCTGGAAGCATCAATGAGTCCAAACTGATAAAAGAGATCAACACACTTAAATCTATGCAGTTTATTAAGGTTTCGGTCTAACAGACCTTCATCAGAGCATAACTCAACATTGGATAGGCAGGCAAAAATAACCAATCACATTCCAGTCACTGGCAGTACCAACACATCTGTGCACGCCCATTTACTGTGAGTCTATGTGCAAGCCCTGATGACAGAGGCTCCACTTCCTGGGAATTGAGGTTTTGAGTACTGAATGGCGTACTGTCATGCATGCCAATAGAAGCCTTACTTGTCCCTTAATAACACAATACAATGTAATCACAAAGGAAATGGGAATTTGAGAGGGATCAGGCTTGAGCCATCATAAATCAGAAGTCCCCCAGATCTATAAGAAAAGGACTAATGGTTATCAGGTGAGGGGCGCCACAAACCATAGACCATAAACTGTACATGAGAGATGAAAAAGAAACATCTTGGATTACAGCACAACACATCAAAATCCACATTGAGGATTTTCCCTGTTGTTTGGCACAATTGCCAGATGGATTATTCCCATCTTTTCCAGGAGCTAAAATATTCTGTTTAAAACCTGCCTTAATATTATCTCTGTGCCAGCGTGTTGCATAAGTTAGCAGCTCTTCTATAGACAAAGAGGGGAGGTCATTAAAATGCTGGGTATGCTAATGCCGGATCAGAGGCCAGTGTTTAAGAATAGCCTTCTGACAGAGTAACTTTTACCCTATTTTGTTTTGTAAAAGATCGTTCCAGTATTGAAATGCACTTTGGTAAGCCTCATCAATACACTGTAAAGAGTAGGCTCTGTCCCGAAAGCTCTTTTTTCATTGCAGCAGCTTAATCAATTAGTTCCTCAGTAGAATGACATTTGAGCGTAAATGACTCTTGGGTAAACCGTATTGCAGAGCTCGATAAGCACTGCTGGCTAGGCAGAATGTAGTCTTATCTGTTTATTTTGAGATACGGCTGCCACTGCATAATTCCATCATATCCAATAAAGACAAATGTTTATGATCATATTCAACAGAGAACTTAAGGTCAGGGGGTTCCTGTTAGTCTTAAAAACATATAAACTAGCATAATGCAAAAAGTAGAACTCATCAATGCTCCTTTACATTGTAGGAAGAAATCTCCAATGAAGGAGAAGTAGTTCAGTTTAAGGACCAAATTAGCTCACAAATAAATGGACAGGGTGGTAGTGCTTCCTCTGTGCAGATAATACTCAAGACCTCTTACAAGGAAAATCTTTGTGTAGAGGCTTTCCACATCTAAGGTGGCCAGAATAACATCATTGGGTAACTTTTTTAATGTTGATATCTATCTTTAATATATGATGGAAGCGTCTGAACAGATGGTTTAAGAAAGTGATGAAAACAGTTCATTAATAGATAATGGCTCTAGTAGAGCATCACTGATGGCTACAATAGGTTGGCCTTTGGGTTTAACCCCCCAAGTGGAGCAACTGTTGCAGGCAGCATGATAGAACTGTAAAGCTGTGACTCCCTCTCATACACTCACTCATTGCCTAGATCAGAGCTCATTAGATGCTCACATTTGGCTGCTTCAACTCAGTTTTGATTATACTGAATTCTCAGTAAATTATTAGAATTACACAATTTGTGATTGTCTTACATTTAACTCACTGCGCATCAGAACACTTACAATAAATTAGGTAGCCTGTATTCCAATTATTTTTAACTACCTAAAACAAGTGCATATAACCTTAAACATGTGGAGCTTCTGGTGCTGATTTCTAGCCTTGTAATACCAGTGCAAGTCAGTTACAGGTTGCTTAATTGCTTGTTAAGCTGCAGCCAATCACAACACTGCCTCCCCTCCCCCACTCATTTGCAGCCTCTTTGATCTATGCTTGAGATTAGGTGAGTGCCATGAGTAACAGATTTAATAATATAATCATAAATAAACATAAATCATGTTTGAGTAGCGTTAATGAAATATTCTGTGATGTCGCCTCAGTGACTTTAATTGGGGAGACTTGAAGTGTTGTTGTAGTGTTTGCCAACATTAGCCAACTATGTAGCAAGCTAACTCAGCAAAAATGCTGCAAATGACACCTTTTGATAGAAACATTTCTGCTGTTAAAGGTTTTAATAAATGCAGGACTGCACTCACGCCGAATGTTTCAGCAGCTCAGTTTAAAATATTTATTGACGCAGTGAAATCTTTGTCAAGTGACAGCAAGGTCTCTGTATAAGACGTGACACCTTGCTGACATCAGCACGTGAGTTTAAAAACTGTGCTGTTCAAGCTTTCCCCCCTGGCCGGGCCCCCGACTATGAATAGACACCACTGTAGCTACATGGTGGTGATTCTGTCGTTTGTCAGCCCTCAGTTGTAGATCCATTTGGTAAAATTTGTGGGGCAAAGAGCTGAATTTTTCCATATAAATCAGATTTATCTGAGATGCTTTTGCGTTCAGCCAAAACTGTTTCCTTTCAGTTTGGTTGTGGCACACCGTGATGAAGGATTAATAGCGCTTTATTAGGCTGGGACTCTGCCTTTCTGCAGACGAGCGCCGTCTTAAGTTTAACATAGTACATCTTATGATTAAAGCAGGGGAGGATGTCCTAAATGGCCACCTCGCATGTATTATATTTAATAGGCCTATCTTAATATTAATTGCCATTAATTTACCTCTTGCCATTAGTTATGGATATGTTATGGGTTTTTTCCAGGCGACATTGACTATCTGGGCTTCTGGCTTTGCATTTCCGGTCTCTCATTTTCTGTCACCTTTTCAGGCTGAGGATGTTCAGACAAAATACTCCCATCAGAGGACCGAGGAGAAGGGAGCAAACAAGACTTGCAACTTTCAGAGTTGGTCTCCTCCTCCATCCTGATATGGAAACATTCCACCCACAAAGGTATGTTTAATTACATATGCACTGTAGTGTTTCCCACAGACAAACAACTTGGGCAGTGGGGAGGCATTTTCTATTTGACATTTTAATCACTTATTTTACAGCTTACACTATAATTGAATCTGCGCCCTTTCCCTTCAGTTCCCTTTTCCTCACGCTTGCGCACACACCTGCTGCAAACACAGCGGCGTGCCCCGCCTCTCTCCGCCTCTCCCCGCCTCTCTCCGCCTCTCTCCGCCTCTCTCCGCCTCTCTCCGCCTCTCTCCGCCTCTCTCTCCCTGGATGCGTCTGCTCCGGTAACTTTTTCCACGTTTTATAAAGTCGCTAAAAAGACGGAGCTCGTCTGCTGGAATTTTCCACCCACAATTTCCTTCATAGCATCAGACGTAAAATCCAAAATGGGTCTGCCTGTAATTTACACTACTGAGTAAGGGAAACACTGCATTGTATGTTCTGAAGAGACTGCTTCACAAATACCTTGTAGTGATTTTTCTTTATGCAATTTTCATTGTAGCGGAAGCTTAGAAGAAAAGTTAAGGTGCCAGTGTCCTTGTCTGCTGAGGAGTTCAACGCTGTCCTCAGAAATGCGTTTCCAAGAGTGGGCGACACTGATTTTGAGTTGGCAAGAGTAGATTGTCATAAAGAAACCACAAGACTTCAAGTTTGTCCACTATCACCATCTGTGCTGAAAGCCAGCAGAGAGCTGAATCGATCAGCTTTATATATATACTCCCAAAGGTACTGTACACTGATCATACCCTGAGCTGAATGTCGTCTTAATCATCTGAATCTGTAATGGCTCATTCCTATTGATGCGCTGGAACACCGATGCATATAACTGAACCATGTTATAGCAACTTTCACTCTACTTTTTAAAAGGAGAGTCTGGAAGAGCAGGTTGGAGAACAGCAAGATGGTTTTTGTTTGTTTGGTTTTTACCACCATCAAATCTGTAACGCAGGCATAATTTTAGCAGTATATTGTGGGCGTAAACTAGAACCCGACAAATGTATCGGCCAGCCGATCTGATCCAATTACATTTAAATTGCCGTTTATAACATCCAATATGACTATTAAAAAAAGAAGACTGAGTTAGATCACTCATGTCATGAGTGTCATAGATTGCCCACCAGGTGGCGCTTTGCAGCTCCCCTGTTAACACTGCGTCACCACAAAAACCACAAAAGAAAACATCAGCTTCATTTATAGTGAAATGAAATCTCAAAGTTGCAAGTCCTGGTTGTAGACAGTCATGTAGTATTGGAGACATTCAAGAGCAGGTCACTGTATCGTAGACGGTGTGTTTTAGAGCCATATGGTTGAGAAATGGTTTCTTGTAGCTTTGGATAGAATTAAGAGTGCTGGTAAGGGGATAAAACTAGATGTGAATATGCTGCATTGAAAATGGTCAATATGTGTAAGGTAAAATACACATGCTGCTTCTGTTTACAGATGGCTGAAAAAGTTCCACCTTCTAGCAGCAAATATTTATTGATGAGCAGTTGTTTAAATGTTCAGTTGTTGAGACCGTAATCTATTTTATTAACATAATCCAATTAGGAAAAGGTTTTATAAAACGGCCTGTTCTAAGTGTAGTTTATACCAGAAAGCGGTCTATTATCCAAATCCTTTTCAAAATCTAAATATCAGTTCTTTTTCACTTTAAAATCTGCATTGGCCCCCAAAAACCCATATCAGTCGGGCTCTAGTGTAAACATCCAGATCAAATAAACAATACGTGTTGTTTTTGATCTCTGGCCAAAACCTGGACCAAGATGATATGGGCACCCATTTTAAGCTCTTTCTAGGCTTATTGTATATTTCATAATGGCATATTGCATCTTTGGCCAACAAATGGGGTGTTCTGGTATTTTGAAGGATGACAGGAGGTCCATACTTCACAAAACTGCCTGGAGAGACCTAATACAATGGCGAGGGATGTAAGTACAGTTATCAGCACTATCATTATCCAATTAACATTTTTTATCAAAATTATTACCCAACCAAAAGTAATTTCCTTTTGAAATGTTAACAAGCGATTGTTGCCATTGTAATGTAACAGTAAGCATGTTTTACAGCTCGAACGTGAATCTCATGACACAGAGAGAGTGGAAGTAGCAGATGATGATGCTGATGTAAGCTTTTGTCTTTACTAGGGACTGAATATAAAACTACTAATATAATGTTTTACATTTTTAATGTTTCCTCTAGGATTTACATGAGTGGCGTGCACTTCACAAGACAAGATGAGGAATACATACAAAGTCTGCAAACTGAGCAGGAAAGGGTAAGCACACAGCAGTGTTTTATAAAATGTCCCCTCTTCGCCCAGGTAATGTATGTTAAACACTTACGTTAGTGCAAGCTGTAGGCCTATATTTTGTAATGTTGTATTTAACGGTAATGTCTTTACTCAGGTGTTTGTGTTTTGTCAGGACACTCTGGTTCCTGAAGAGACCACTCCTCAAAACATCTCATCTGGGTCCTCTGATACCACTGCTGGCTTCCTGGATTTGAGTCATGTCAAAGAAACTACCGAGTAAGTGCTAGTTTCATACTTCCATTAATGGATTAAATGAGTCGCGGCCATCAGGCCAATAAAGTGCTACATACAGATTTTGAATGTTGCAAGTCCCACCTGAAAAAGGTTTCTGGTGGTTGTTGTTCTAGACCAGATCTGAAAACCTTACTGACAACTCTGGCATCAAAAGTCTGGATTGGAGAGACGCCCAGCAGTAATATGATCAATGTATGCAGAGAAAACATAATGGATGGTGCCATGCGAGCCTTTACAAGAAGGAGTTTCAATCCAGAGGCCAAATTAAGCGTCATATTTATGGATGACTTCATGCAAGCAGAAGGTTCAGTGGATGAGGGGGGCCCTACACGGGGGTTTTTCCGACTGCTCTCAGAGATAGCAGCCTATTTACAGGGCCACAGTAAGAACCTGTCCCTGGACAGCCACGGTTAGTACCCACACATGCCATTAATCTAAGTCATATTCTAACAAATTGATTGTATTCCTGGCGGATTAAGATTTTAGATTTGAGTTATAAACACCTTATTCTGCAGAGATTTGCCACCTGTTAACCACTGCAAAATGTACTGTTCTACATTTCCATTATGCAGCATTACACAGAGGTCTCTACAGAACCTATGGAGTTATGATGGCTGTGGCGCTGCTGCATGGAGGAGTGTTGCCTTCTTTTTCTGGAGAGGCTCTACCAAAACCTCTGCTCTACACCACCACCGTGGAGGGACGGGACCGGCTGGTTCAGGCTGCCACAAGTTTCTACGTGGAAGGACAAAAGACCTCCCAACAGTGAGTATTGTGTATAGTCCCACACTTTATCTGTAATGCTGGCTACAAATTGTAAATTGCATTTTAACTCCTTAATTTTGTTGATGGCAGAGCTACAGTGCTTGGACCAGATTTGACTTATGTTTTGAGGAAAATGCTTGGGTGAGCTCACATCAATATTTATGCTGGAAAAACAAACCTGCATGGTGCCACATACTGTTTAATAGAGCACTTGCTTCTGTTTGATTGGGCCACTGGTTGACTGGTCACAATTTTGTTGTGCGACACTCCTGATTGACTTAACCTATGGAAATTGCTTGGTTCTCATCACTGGGGTGTTGGGCAGATGTGCTTTTTTAAATGTATTTTCCTTAACATGCTGTCGTATAAATCGTGTGTGTGACATGGTACCTTGCAGGACAAACATACACCTTCTAATCATTTTGGTTCTTTACAGACTTTCTGAAGGACTGAACACACTTGGTCTCCTGGACCTGATGAAAATTCACGCCAGCATCTTGAAGGAGGTGTTTTCTTCATCTGAGAGGCCTCTAAAGGCCACAGACTTGATCTCCCTGTTCCAAGTGACACTGTCCCCTCCTGGAAGCAACCGGTGGCGCCTGGAGAAGAGAGTGGAAGGGTACTGGAGAGACTTTCTTCTAGATGTGGAGGGTAAATAAAGGATTCACTCTTTTTGAGTGACTCTGACTTGCTGACACAAACCTGCAGATCATCAGATGTTAATTATTGTATTACCTCACTATTTTACAGATGGTGTGTTTGAGGTCACAATGGAGCAAATTTTGGTGTTTGCCTCTGGAGCCGACAGAGTACCCGCTCTTGGTTTTTCTCCTCACCCAACGCTGAACTTCATTCACGACGCAGGGCGGAAGTACCCTGAAGCTAACACCTGTCTTGTAAATTTGAAACTTCCTATCCATGACACTTACAGACAGTTCGCCAAGTTTATGTGCGATGGCATTATTCACGCTCCCACTTCTGGTCTGGCTTAAAGTCACTGACAGCTATTTTCATAATGGCTGAACTTTGAATGTCCTGCCTGCTAACGTTGTTCTCAGGTGATGATGTTAAGATGATTTGAGGTAATTGTCTACTTAGGTCTGTAGTTGATGACCAGTGTGACACGTCCTAATTAAAAGCTCTGAATAATCAACCAAAGTAGATGAGGTTTGTTACAGAACTTGAGCAATGCTGTTTGAAAGTGCATCTCTACTAAGAAACTGCAGCCACGTCTCCCTATGCTGCCAGCAAGCTAACTGCCAGGTTGTAGGCCTGGTATTGTAGGAAATTGGAGATATTTTCCACGCAGCTAAGTAAATAACTGTTAAACATTTATCACTAACTACGTTTTGTAATGTCACATGTTTAAGTAACGTTTCAGCGGACAGCTTTAGGACTGTAACACATTGGTGATTGAGTTTCCTGCCATTAACGTTATGACTTTTAATTATTATTTTTAGTTAATGTTATACCGGGAAGCGGATTTTTATTACTTGGTAGAAACCATCGACTGTAGAGTCCCAATTAAAGACAGGGCAACATTTACTGTTAATACCATGAAACTGAGTGCCAGATTCCCCAACCGGCCAACCCCTTTTTCTTTCAACCTCTCTGGCATGCTCCCATTCGATACTGATATAACGTTACATTTTAATTATTTTTAGGCGATGGAACATTAACCTTACTGACTGTGTTTTTAAATAAGGAGCATCTGTGCTGGAGGGGTTTTCTGACTGCTAACTGTTAGCTGTGGTGGTGGGAGGCGGCTGGTCCGGTTTGAAACGGATCGCTGGAATGTATTTCCCCCATTTATAATCAAAACACTAGTGGGGTGCAGTGTACAGCTTGGACAGATAACATTACACTGTTGTGGAGGTTGACTTCAGGGAATAAAGTAAGATTATAAGATTATTGTATTGTAATGTCGTCATCATATTGTATTTTCTTTTTTCTTTCATTACTGTTTTAATGTTTTATTTCTTTAAAAGCCCTTCTAGGGACGGGTGTTAAACACTATGGTACACACATCGGATTCCTTTATTTAGTTTATCTATGTTAGATGTATTGGTCCCTAATAAAAATAAACTGGAAAAAACAAAAATAAGACGGCTGGTCGTACCCAACCACTCGAGGGTAAGAATACCAGCGTAAGCCAATCAGGCAGCCAGCTCACCTGTGGAACAAAGAAGTCGGCTGGCCTCATCCCTCATCTGTGTGCATGATATGCAAGTTTCCTTGCACCTTTAGCAGCAAAGCAGTGGTAACTTATTACTTCATTCCTATGTTTAGACAGAAATTGTATTTGAAGGTAAACTACATTAAATGTAGAGGGTTTTTCCACAGGCTAAAAACACCAGGGTAATACACCGCCATCAACATCTCATCTCTATCCCTGCACCTGCACAACTTCACCTGTATGAGTGTAATCAAATATAGCTCTAATCATGAGAGAATGCTGCGTCCTGTCTGCTGTGTCGATTTTAAATGAGCCTGATAAAACAATAATTTGATAATAGTGGCTGACAGGCATGCATATTGGTTCATATCTTCATGTATTCTGTTTTGGCAGCATTAGAGACCTCCGGGTATCAAGCCCCATTGGTCCGGACAGGTGATTTTGGACGATCCAGCTACCTAATCACTGAAGAACACCTGAGATTCCTGCTTTCATGTGGATTTGTAGCTACGCAAATTGCTGAAATCCTGGATGTATCAGTCAGTGCAGTTAAACGAAGATTGAGGTATGAACAACAGTTACAAGGCGTACACAAAATATTGTGTTCTTTTGTCAATTTATTCACTAGATTTTTGTTTTCTATCTTACTATATGTTCAGTGAAATGGGTAGACTTCTCAAGCTGGCAGTGGGTAAAGTGGAATAAGCTAAAGTTCAGTATCGTAATGTAATGCATATAGGTCAGACATTAAATTTGGGTGACACACTTGGTCATTCTGAGCATGAAAACCAATGGCCATGTTCTTTACACTCCAAACCAATAGTTTGGTTTAGTTTATTATTGAGGAAAAACGTTCTTGAGGAAAACTTTTAAACATATTTATTTTTTTCTTCAAGGTGTAGTTATTACTGAAGCTGCTATTATTATTGATGCTGTTATCTTTATCAGAAGTTTGTGTAAGATGGTCACGTTCAGTAAAATGCAAATACACTCAGATTGAAATTGAGTTCTGTTCTCTCCCAGGCGCTTCAACTTGCCCTACCTGATGAGGTCTGCACGTCTTTCTAATGCAGAACTTGATGAAGTCAAGTCAAGCTGCAGTCGGTTGGAGAAAATGAAGAGATGGGAGCAAATGCTGTTTTGGCCAGACTGGCTGCTATGGCTGTTTGAGTGCAGAGGAGAAGAGTGAGAGAGAGTTTGATTGGAGTGAATCCAGAGCGTTGTCTCACCGACTGCACCGGAGAACCTACAGTGCTGCAGGACCCAACTCGCTGTGGCACATAGATGGGAACCACAAACTCATCAGGTACATGCGGATGATAAATTAGTTACAGTGAGACTAAACACTCAACTAACAGAATCATTTACAGGGCTCTTCAGTGCAAGCTTTTCACTTTAAGAGTGAATATTCTGCATGCAAATATGAATTTGTTTTTGCCGTACTGGTGTGCGTTACTTCTGATGAACTATGATGACATCAGAATAAACAAGCACAGATCCTGCACAGATGCATGTTGTTAGGACACAAGTTAATATTCAGGTTTCTTTCCTAGTTTATTGAACTGTCATCAGGTTTTTATAAATTGAGGTGTCCTCTGTTAGGTTACTTGTAATTATGAGATGTTTTCTGCGTGTCTGTTTTGTATTATTGATGCACTGACGTTACATGACAGTGTTTCCCACACATAATGTATTTGTGGTGGTCCGCCACAATATCAACGCTGACTGCCACAAATTGAAGATTATTTAATTCTTTGTACTACTTGAAATGGATCCGTGGTGTTTGACTGTAGAGTTGCGTGCAGTGCATGTATTCGCTCAGCACCTCGCTACCTCCCCCCCTCTCTCACAAACACATTGACAACTGAACCGTCTGTAAACAGCTGCTCCTCTTTGTGCAGCCTGAATCAAAACATGATCATGCGCTGCAGGAAGGCTTGTTGCCAGCTTTTCCGCGCAGAGAAGATCACTGAATCCATCTGAAGCTGAATGGTCGACGTTAGTATCATAAACACGGCTGCACAAATCTGTCCAACACGACGCTGTCAATTTCTGAGACCCACCTTCAAATAAGTTATTAGTAAGCATGTATGGAGCCTAGTTATGTTAAGAATAGCCTACAGCTGGGTGGCCGAGGTTAGGACACTGTACATGGCTACTAGTCAATGTCGACTGCCCCCCCCCCCCAGCCACAGTTACGCTGTCATCCTGTGGGAAACACTGCATTATGTACAAAATTGCACTTTGACTGCACCCCTATATTTTTGGCAGGGGTAAGCATAGTATCCTGAATTTATTAATGTAATCTTAACACAGAATAACAGCTTTTTGTTTCGTTTGTAGATGGAGAATAGTGATCCATGGCGGAATCTGTGGCTTCAGCAGGCCGGTTGTGTTTTTGCAGGCTTCAGATAATAACAGAAGTTGCACAGTGTTTGACCAGTTTGTTCAAGCCACTGCTAGGTATGGAGTCTCGAATAAGGTGTGACCATGGGGGAGAAAACAATGCTGTCTGCTTGTTCATGAACATTTACCGTGGATTAGAAAGAGGAAGTGCCATCCGGGGCAGAAGTGTCCATAACCAGCGGATGGAGAGGCTTTGGGAGATCTCTGGAGAGGTATGACTAATGTGGACCACCAGCTTTTCACCTTCCTTGAAAATGAAAGAATCATTGACTGTACCAATGAGCTGCACTTGTGGCCGCTGCATTATGTTTACCTGCCACGGATTAACCGGGACCTGGAGGTTTTCAGGCAACAACGGAACAACCGTGGCTCGCGCCCTGTTGGCCTCGCCATATCAGATATTTGTCCAAGGACGTCTTCAGAGGCAAACACAACCGCTCACAGCCATGGCAGAGATTTTTGGATCCGACACTGCTCAACAAGGGGCTGCGGCTGCAGTTCCTGTTCTGAATTGGCAAGAAAGAGTAAAGTTCCTGCTAACCGATTCGGTCCAAGCCGTGCACAGACGCGACAAGTCCAGGATGTGGACACTCTGGCGGGACCGATTGGTAGTCTAGCCATAGATAATGTTTTGGCCATGCCTCTGTATTGTTCCCTTGTTGTTTCCCAGTTAGTCTCTCCGTGTCAGCTAGAGGAGATACCGGTAGACCAGACCGCTCACCTGCTGTGGAGGGGGGAGTAATTGACCAGTTCAGCTTCAGTCTTCTTTACCCTCCTCTTGGCTCTCTTCTCCGCCTTGCATACACCCATTTATAATAACAGTGGCATTTATGCTCTTACAATCCCAACTGTTCTTCTTTTTGATGACAGTATATTTCTCTCTGTGTCTCAGGATTATACAACAGTTTCTTGCCAGTCTCTTTGCCAACTCTGGATTCCCTAGCTTACCTCCCCTCTCAAGGTAAGATTACATTATAATAGCTTCACAGTGTAAGGTCTAGTGGCAGTGTAAGCATTGTTTCTAATTAACATGTGGTGTGTCTCTCTCAGGACGGTATCCTGCACTCTAATCCAGGGGATAATGAATCCCTGAGGAATGAGAGGGTTAGATGCCGTGATAACACAGGTAAACCAAACTTAATAGAACTTAACTCAAACTTTATGTCCCTGCCACCTTTTCATTTCTTTGCAGCTCACAGATGTGTTTTTGTCAGTGTAGTTACTGGGTCAGTTGCAGAACACAGGCCCTCCTCCAGCTGATAGAGAAGATCTCTCCTCTCCCATCTGTCAGTATGAAATGTGAATGGCTGCAAGACAAAATGGATAAACTGACAGCACGTGTGTCTGATTGCAGGTTTAGAGACAAAAGTGAGTGGAGCTAACTTTACGTCCTATAAATGTAGCTACATAGCATTATTAGTGACTCCTGTTGCTGCTATTTTTATTTCTGATGCTGCTGCTATTAGTATAGATGCAGATACATGTTGAACTACGCACTTTACAATGCTCCAACCACACCATGTTCACTCCGCCTTTTACTGCCACACTGACAGCTTATTGCTCGTATTTTCCTCTGCTCCTCTTGCTTTCACATTCGCTTGTCATTTTCTGCTGCCTGTCACGTAGGTGTCCTTTGCAGAATGAGGAGAGGGAGCCAACTGTTAAATGTTACCGTGCTCACACTGTGCGAGTGAAAATCATTAGTTGCTTTTTTATATACAGTCTGTTAGTTGCACATTGATAATAATAACCCTGTGAAGTATCGATTTATGTACTTATTTTCCCCACCCCTAGTAACCACAGGGGTCTTGATAAACATTTCTTTTCTCCTGTAGACTGCTGTGTGCAGTGTCCAGTGCACAGAGAGAACTTCGCAGTGGGAGAGCCATTCAGACAGCTGCCCTGTAACCACTTCTTTCATTCAGAATGGATAGTACCATGGCTGGAACTGGTGAGTCATAACAAAGAGAGTTGAGCTTTTGTAAAATAAACTCACAAAACAGATCCTTAATGGCATTTAATAGTTGATATGATATTCACAGTGCTCATTCAGGCATTAGGACCTAAAGGAATTTAGAACATGCTACCTGGTAGAAACATTTATGTGGTGTCGACTAAAAATAAACATTTCCTATTGTTTATTGTAATGAAGGAACAGTGTTGCCCAGTGCAAATACGTGACGAATTAATGTGTTCTAGGAGAGGAATGGAGGTTAATGGCACTTACAGTAACAAACAATAAGCACGTATATATATCATTTTGCCAGCTTTACCTTTAGAATTGCCTTAAAGGAATGTGAAATTACAATCAACTAAACATTATTAGATGCTAAATGCAGAATTAGTTCACCCATGTTGAAGTTGCCCTACTATACCAGTCATTTAACATTAGCAGTGTGGGATTTTGCTGAGGTATATTTGACTTACCAGACAAAGGTCACAGAACAGCCTGAGCATCGTGTGCAATAGGACTTAAATAAGGAGTCCACTAGTTATAACTCCCCATCAGAGTATCCACCCTCTACATGGACGCCGCAAACAGGAGAGATGGTCCTTCTGAGACACCTACCTTTCTCATCCCTCGTTCTCCTCGCCAAGACACAGCGCTTGTCACGTTCTCTTTGCTATCTGTGGCAGTTATAATCATCTCAGTCTGATATTTCTTTGTATTTTTGTTTAATTTATTTAATGCCTTTCTGCACCATGTAAACAGAAACCCGTACAGACGTCCTAACAGTCGATTGAGTTCAACCCCGTGTCTTCTCTACTTGCACCTCTCAAGCAACTCCATCTGCCTTGAAATGCACCGCTGCAATACGCTATTGTGGAGAAATGCCAGACTTGATATGATACCGTGTCCTCTTTACACATCAGAAAATGTGCTAAATCCTGCAGCTGAGCCCTCAGTGGCATATGGGATGGCTGTAGGGGTTACTTTCACTCTTGGCATTTACAGGCTTTGGACCTAATGTAGCCCTGCAATAAATGTTGTGTTTTTGAAGGATATAATGATATTTTTTTGTTGAGATTAGGCAGGAAGATATTGATCTCTGGTTATTCTGCTGGTGTTTTATTGGATTGCATTATAAACCCATGGGCCAATGACGGGCAATTGATGGGGTATCTTTGAAATAAAAACCTTTCTCGTGGTTGTCTAGCTCTGTGGTTGTTTTTGATGTAGAGTCAGATGCAGATGGTAACGTTTCTGTTAATGAAATGACTTCAGTAGGCAGTTTAAATGGTATTCACACTGCTTTCTTGTTGCTTTATGATATATCCAGCTATATCAATTAAGACTTGGTCGATAATTAATCTTAAATGATGTTAGTTTCCCACCCCGAGCACCTGGTTAAAATCAGGACATTGTCATTATTTTACCATTTCATCAGGATTAAGGGTATAGGCTAGTCTATTATGCCCCCTGCTGGTCATAACTCTACATTCAATGAAAGAGGAAAGTTTCATGTTATTCCAATGGTCTGTATCCTAAACCAACATTTAGTGAGTACCACTGTTGTAACTGTGCAGCCACACTATTGTTGATGTAATGATATAAAACTAAAGATTGTTTTTATTGAAAGAGGCAGTAGTGGAGCAAAAGGAGGCCATTTATCTTAAATGATTTATAACGTTATAATTTAATGTCATAAAACCGCAATCCAGCTATTACATTTTATAGGTTACACACAAAAGGAAGAAAAGGACCAAGAAATAATAGGTATGTTAAATAGTGGCAGGCAAACCCCCCAGGCTTACAGAAATGGTTTAACCCTACTACTCTGCAGCCAATGGAAAAGTACAACACTCACCCCTTCAAACTGTGTAACTGGCCAAATGGCTCAGAATCGCAGGAAATCAACATGTTGACAGCACGTTATCAACACGTTATCAACACGTTATCAACATGTTATCAACATGTTATCAACACGTTATCAACATGTTATCAACACGTTATCAACATGTTATCAACACGTTATCAACACGTTATCAACACGTTATCAACATGTTAACATGTTATCAACATGTTATCAACATGTTATCAACATGTTATCAACACGTTATCAACATGTTATCAACACGTTATCAACATGTTATCAACACGTTATCAACACGTTATCAACATGTTAACATGTTATCAACACGTTATCAACACGTTATCAACATGTTATCAACACTTTATCAACATGTTATCACCACGTTATCACCACGTTATCACCACGTTATCAACACGTTATCAACACGTTATCAACATGTTATCAACACGTTATCAACATGTTAACATGTTATCAACATGTTATCAACACGTTATCAACATGTTAACATGTTATCAACATGTTATCAACACGTTATCAACATGTTAACATGTTATCAACACGTTATCAACATGTTATCAACACGTTATCAACACGTTATCAACATGTTATCAACACGTTATCAACACGTTATCAACATGTTATCAACTCGTTATCAACACGTTATCAACATGTTATCACCACGTTATCAACACGTTAACACGTTATCAACACGTTATCAACATGTTATCAACACGTTATCAACACGTTATCAACATGTTAGCAACACGTTATCAACATGTTAGCAACACGTTATCAACATGTTAGCAACACGTTATCAACACGTTAACACGTTATCAACACGTTAACACGTTATCAACACGTTATCAACATGTTATCAACATGTTATCAACACTTTATCAACACGTTATCAACACGTTATCAACACGTTAGCAACACGTTATCAACACGTTAGCAACACGTTATCAACATGTTAGCAACACGTTATCAACACGTTAACACGTTAACACGTTATCAACACGTTATCAACATGTTATCAACACTTTATCACCACGTTATCAACACGTTATCACCACGTTATCACCACGTTATCAACACGTTATCAACACGTTATCAACACTTTATCAACACGTTATCAACACGTTATCACCACGTTATCACCACGTTAACACGTTATCAACACGTTATCAACACGTTATCACCACGTTATCACCACGTTAACACGTTATCAACACGTTATCAACACGTTATCAACATGTTAGCAACACGTTATCAACACGTTAGCAACACGTTATCAACAAGTTATCAACAAGTTATCAACACGTTATCAACATGTTATCAACACTTTATCAACATGTCATCAACACGTCATCAACACGTTATCAACACGTTATCAACACGTTATCAACACGTTAACATGTTATCAACATGTTATCAACACGTTATCAACACGTTATCAACAAGTTATCAACACGTTATCAACACGTTATCAACACGTTATCACCACGTTATCACCACGTTATCAACACGTTATCAACACGTTATCAACACTTTATCAACACGTTATCACCACGTTATCAACACGTTATCAACACGTTATCACCACGTTATCAACACGTTAAGACGTTATCAACACGTTATCAACACGTTATCAACACGTTAGCAACACGTTATCAACACGTTAGCAACACGTTATCAACATGTTAGCAACACGTTATCAACACGTTAACACGTTATCAACACGTTATCAACATGTTATCAACACTTTATCAACACGTTATCAACACGTTATCAACATGTTATCAACACGTTATCAACACGTTATCAACATGTTATCACCACGTTATCAACACGTTAACACGTTATCAACACGTTATCAACACGTTATCAACACGTTATCAACATGTTAGCAACACGTTATCAACAAGTTATCAACACGTTATCAACACGTTATCAACACGTTATCAACACTTTATCAACACGTTATCAACACGTTATCAACATGTTATCAACACGTTATCAACACGTTATCAACATGTTATCAACACTTTATCAACATGTCATCAACATGTTATCAACACGTTATCAACACGTTATCAACATGTTATCACCACGTTATCAACACGTTAACACGTTATCAACACGTTATCAACACGTTATCAACATGTTAGCAACACGTTATCAACACGTTATCAACACGTTAGCAACACGTTATCAACATGTTAGCAACACGTTATCAACATGTTAGCGACACGTTATCAACACGTTAACACGTTATCAACACGTTATCAACATGTTATCACCACATTATCAACACGTTAACACGTTATCAACACGTTATCAACACGTTATCAACATGTTAGCAACACGTTATCAACACATTAACACGTTAACACGTTATCAACACGTTATCAACATGTTATCAACACTTTATCAACACTTTATCAACACGTTATCACCACGTTATCAACACGTTATCAACACGTTATCAACACGTTAACACGTTATCAACACGTTAACACGTTATCAACACGTTATCACCACGTTATCAACACGTTAAGACGTTATCAACACGTTATCAACACGTTATCAACACGTTAGCAACACGTTATCAACACGTTAGCAACACGTTATCAACACGTTAGCAACACGTTATCAACACGTTAACACGTTATCAACACGTTATCAACATGTTATCAACACTTTATCAACACGTTATCAACACGTTATCAACATGTTATCAACACGTTATCAACACGTTATCAACATGTTATCACTACGTTATCAACACGTTAACACGTTATCAACACGTTATCAACACGTTATCAACATGTTAGCAACACGTTATCAACAAGTTATCAACACGTTATCAACACGTTATCAACACGTTATCAACACTTTATCAACACGTTATCAACACGTTATCAACATGTTATCAACACGTTATCAACACGTTATCAACATGTCATCAACATGTCATCAACATGTTATCAACACGTTATCAACACGTTATCAACACGTTATCAACATGTTATCACCACGTTATCAACACGTTAACACGTTATCAACACGTTATCAACACGTTATCAACATGTTAGCAACACGTTATCAACACGTTATCAACACGTTATCAACACGTTATCAACATGTTAGCAACACGTTATCAACATGTTAGCGACACGTTATCAACACGTTAACACGTTATCAACACGTTATCAACATGTTATCAACACTTTATCAACACGTTAGCAACACGTTATCAACACGTTAGCAACACGTTATCAACATGTTAGCAACACGTTATCAACACGTTAACACGTTAACACGTTATCAACACGTTATCAACATGTTATCAACACTTTATCAACACTTTATCAACACGTTATCACCACGTTATCACCACGTTATCAACACGTTATCAACACGTTATCAACACGTTAACACGTTATCAACACGTTAACACGTTATCAACACGTTATCAACATGTTATCATCACGTTATCATCACGTTATGAACATGTTATCAACACGTTATCAACATGTTATCATCACGTTATCAACATGTTATCAACATGTTATCAACACGTTATCAACACGTTATCAACACGTTATCAACACGTTATCAACATGTTAGCAACACGTTATCAACATGTTAGCAACACGTTATCAACACGTTATCAACATGTTATCAACATGTTATCAACACTTTATCAACACGTTAGCAACACGTTAGCAACACGTTATCAACACGTTAGCAACACGTTATCAACATGTTAGCAACACGTTATCAACACGTTAACACGTTAACACGTTATCAACACGTTATCAACACGTTATCAACACTTTATCACCACGTTATCACCACGTTATCACCACGTTATCACCACGTTATCAACACGTTATCAACACTTTATCAACACGTTATCAACACGTTATCACCACGTTATCACCACGTTAACACGTTATCAACACGTTATCAACACGTTATCACCACGTTATTACCACGTTAACACGTTATCAACACGTTATCAACACGTTATCAACATGTTAGCAACACGTTATCAACACGTTATCAACAAGTTATCAACACGTTATCAACAAGTTATCAACAAGTTATCAACATGTTATCAACACTTTATCAACATGTCATCAACACGTCATCAACACGTTATCAACACGTTATCAACACGTTATCAACATGTTATCAACATGTTAACATGTTATCAACATGTTATCAACACGTTATCAACACGTTATCAACAAGTTATCAACACGTTATCAACACGTTATCAACACGTTATCAACATGTTATCACCACGTTATCACCACGTTATCAACACGTTATCAACACGTTATCAACACTTTATCAACACGTTATCAACACGTCATCAACACGTTATCAACACGTTATCAACATGTTAACACGTTATCAACACGTTATCAACACGTTATCAACATGTTAACATGTTATCAACATGTTATCAACATGTTATCAACACGTTATCACCACGTTATCAACACGTTATCAACACGTTATCAACACGTTAACACGTTATCAACACGTTAACACGTTATCAACACGTTATCAACACGTTATCAACACGTTATCAACACGTTAACATGTTATCAACACGATATCAACACGTTATCAACACGTTATCAACACGATATCAACACGTTAACATGTTATCAACATGTTATCAACACGTTATCAACACGTTATCAACACGTTAACACGTTATCAACACGTTATCAACATGTTATCAACACGTTATCAACATGTTATCAACATGTTAACATGTTATCAACACGTTATCAACACGTTATCAACATGTTATCAACACGTTATCAACACGTTATCAACATGTTATCATCACGTTATCATCACGTTATCATCACGTTATCAACATGTTATCAACACGTTATCAACATGTTATCAACACGTTATCAACACGTTATCAACACGTTATCAACACGTTATCATCACGTTATCATCACGTTATCAACATGTTATCAACATGTTATCAACATGTTATCAACACATTATCAACACGTTATCAACACGTAGTCAATGTGTTGTTAACATGTTGATAACGCGTGAAAAATTAACAGCTTGACAAAACAACCATACGTTGTTTGCACTTTGTCCACATGTTGTCCAAAAAATCCTCCTTTATCCTGAATGAACAGAGACGAGAAGAAAGTGAATCCAGGCGCTGCGTAAAGGGGACATTTCTTGGCGCTCGTTGCTTTAACGCTCACGTTCAGCAGGTACAGGAGAGGATGCTGGGAGCTCACCAGCGTTCTCTGCCAGGATGTGTAGAAAGAGTGAGCGCTCAAGTTCAGCATGAACCACGTTATAGTTTAGATTCACGTAGCTGTGAAGATCAACATCTCTGCGTCTTCCTCTGTGATGTTCGTTCCTTTCTGAAATCAGGACAAACCCAAGCGAACAAGAAGCTCGGCCAGAAACTAGGACTTGTGTTTTGAACCTCATGTAAGCTTGTTCTGTTTTTATCATTTGAGAAATCCGGCCGAGGTGAAGTCTTTCATTTCAGCCGCAGACCGATATCCTCCCTATATACCTGTCTGAGTCAGAAATCAGTTCATCACCTACAGTTGGTCCAAAATGCTGCCGCTCGCTGCAGAAAATGTGAGCACATCAGCCCAGTGTGAGCGTCCTGCTTCCTGTTTCTTTTAGGACGCACTTTAAAATCCTTCTGATCACTTTTAAGGCCAGACATGGGCACGCACCTTCTCTGAGCTTTTATCCCCATATGAGCCAGGACGCAGACTGAGATCCTCTAGTAGGGCTCTGCTAACTGCTCCAAAGTCTAGGCTCAAAGCCAAAGGGGACAGGGTCTCTGCTGTCAGGGCCCCTACAGGCTCAGAGTCTGCTCCTGGTTTCATCTCACTTCTTAGACACATTTCTACAAAAAGCTTTCACTGTGTGACGCCTCATTTATTTTCCTTTATTGACAGATGGATTGTTTTAAAGCTCTTTGTTCCCCGTGTTGAAAAGTGCTCTACAAATAAAGCTTTTATTATGCAGAGGAGGTGTGCAGTGGCTTTGGACCAGCAACGGACCCCTCGGCAACCGGTCCGGACCACAAGGACCGCGTGGACCACTAGTTCATATTTCTACAGACGAGACAGGAGGATGCTGGGAGAAAAGAGAGGCGGGAAGCTGAACTACCTGGTGAGGTCTGAAAATGAATCTGTGTCTGATAGATGATTCCAGCCGTCGTCGTACTTGAAACAAGTTAGCATAGCATCGCCCTGACTGAGCAGAACTCCATTTAGAAAACAAGCGTTTTAAAAGATGTTTGCTTGTCATCTTGAAGACAGACCTGACAGAGCAGGAATTCATATGTTCAACAAATCAGCATCATTTTGATCAGTTTATTGAAATGAAATCACAGCAAAATGTTTATTTTGGCTTCAAACCGCTGCAGGAAACCAGATTATTGAATTAGATCTGAGTGCATAAACAGCACTTTAATAACATAACATCTTTGAGTCCAACAGATTACTGTAAGCTTCTGATTTCCTCTGGTAACAGTTCATGACCTGTGTACTGGAACATAATGACTGCTAGTATATTGTGCTGGAGTCTACTGGTCCCTGGGTTGGTTTTACTATGTTGTCTGTTTTGTGTTGACTTGTACTGACTACAGATGAAAAACAGCCTTCTGGCTAAATCTGGCATATTTACTGAAATGTTTCAGCTTCAATGAAAAATCCAGCTTTATCTTTGAGGAATGAACAGAGAGACGAGAAAAACCAGAACCTGGAGGAAAGAGACTAAAGAAGTGGAGTTTCTGCTGAGTTCTGAGATCAACGTCTGAAGGACTCGGTACGCTTCAAACAAACTAGATCACGTGACGTCTGTTTATACCTGCTCCAAATGTCAACGCTGGAAGACAAAGATCACAGAGTCCAGATGTTTCAGAGGCCTGAACCAGGTCCACTGGAGGCCTCTGGGTTTAACTGCTGTGCTTTGATCCAGTGTGTAGTGAGGAGGAAGAGGCGCTGAATAAACAGGGACTACAAAAACACTACAGACCACATTTGTGTTCAGGCTGAACAAACCTTTGTTCTTGTGAAAGTCTGACTGAATCAAATCTTATTGTGTCTTCATTCTCTGAGTCCATTTTAACAGCTGGCTGCTTTCTGTTCTGTCACTAAATGTGTTGCTTTCTGTTTAACTTGCATCCTGCCAGGGTTGGTGCTGGAATAATCTGAGCTGGACACTTGAGACTTGGACTCGAGTCCTTTTCAATGTTCTCATTAAAGGAGTCGACACAAAGAGAAGCTTTGACTCTTCGTTTGAAACTGGACCTTCAATCAACTGTTTCCTTCAACAAGATTTGTTGTGGCTTCAGAAAATGTGACAAATTGTGACGGGTCCAAAATCTAAAGACAGCAGCTTCCAGCATCTTCTAAATCCTGCTGCTGTAGAAAGTTCTGACATGTGGTTTAACTTGACTCTTAACTTCCTGTCAGTGGTTCTGATTTCCTGCAGCTGCTGACTTCTCTGTGTCTGTAGAAATAAAGTTTGTTTGACTGCACGCATTAGAACGAGCCACAAATATCCAGAGAGCCGCAGCTGTTATCCAGCCGCTGGGAGGTTCACAGGAAACACGCCCGTTCAAGCCATGTGACATCACGCTGACCTCACTCTGACATCACTGATCAGCAGGAATCAATAGTGAGTGTGTAGACTGTGTGTGAGAGTCAGTAGGAGGAGTCAGAGTGAAGAAGAAGCTGACAAAGCGTCCTCCTGTCTTCATCCGTCCTCCATCAGCTGCTTCACCTCCATTTTCTCTCTGATCCAGAGTCAGATCGGATCAATGATCAAAGATCAAACAGGTTGATCGGCCATCAGAGGAGTTGGATCAGTGGAGCTGCTTCTGTTCCTGCTTCTCTCTGCAGAGGAGACAGAGGACAGTCAGACAGAGACAAACACAGAGACTCTGACCTCAGTCTGCATACTGACCTTTGACCCTGAGATCAACTGATTTCCATCTCATGAGGACTCCCTTCTTGTCGTAGACTTTGCACCAGTATGTTCCTCCGTCTCTGTCTGTGGGGGATTTCAGGGTCAGACTGAGGTCTCCAGTTCTCAGCAGGTCTTCCTTCATCTCTGTTCGGTCTCTGTAAACCTGGTCCTGTTGGTCAGGCTGGTCAGAGCCGTTCTGATACATGTGGACCGTCTCATAGGGATCATAGTGGATCCACCTCACTGTAGCGTCCTCAGGCAGGTTGTCTGTGGTCTTGCAGGGCAGCAGGACAGACTCCGCCCCCTCCTCCACCTCCACCTGACAGACTGAGAGGACAACAAAGCAGAACATGAGCTGCACAGACAGCAGCAGCAGTTTGAATAACTTTATTGACAGAAGCAGATGAGAGCAGCAGCTAACAGGGGACAGAAACACAGGAAGCTGTTGGAGATGATCAGAGTCTTGATGCTGCTGGGATTGTTTTGTCCATGTGCTGCTTCACAGTAATGTCTCCTGTCAGTGTTGAGCTGCTGGACTTTTACATTTCTGGATCTAAAGCTGAACTTTGAAGAGAAGAAGCTTTCAAATGTTTTCATCTCTGTTCTGTAAATGAATCTCAGCTCCACATGTTCAACATCAGTCCAGAACACCGAGACACACAAACATCTGATCTGGATCTGATCCCAAACTGCTCTTCCTGCTTCATCAATATTTGGCCTTTTCTTCTGCCGACTCTGAGCCCACTTTTCTTTCCAAACGGCTTCAACATGATGTGAAGAGAACTGAGCATCAATCTTTCATTGATCCAAACTATTAAAGCTGCATTTCTTTGTTCTGAGTGATCAACACATTTGGTTTCTTTCAGCTTTCTTCTTGATCAATACTGGAAATCAATAACTTATTGATCTCATTCTTTCCATCCATGGAAATGATCTCCTGGATTATTCTGGTTTCCTGTTATGACGTCATTTCTGATCACCTGCTGAGCATTTTTACACTGAAATATTGGTCCTTTTATTTTTTAAAGTTACTTTGCTGGGCGCTGGATAAAAAAGCCAAAGCTGCAGGTTGCAAAGAGGTTGGAGATTTTCTGACTGCATCAGTAATAATTTACAACACATTTGTCTGTCCTCCCCAACATCAGCTGCTCTCACTATCTCTGAGTCATTTTTCCAGGAAACAACAAAAACCTACAGTTACCGCATCCATCGGGTCTCGCGCTTCCGACTTCCACAGCGTGTGTGCACGCGCATCCATGTTGCCTGGTAACGAACGCGCCTGCGGCGGGACGACGGAGTTTACCGGAAACGACACATTTTAATTTGTGATGGGCTGAACGGCTCTGGCATTTAGCAGCTACAGAGATGAGGCTGTGAACTCGGCACAGAAATGATCGTCCATTAATGAACAACTTGGAGGACGTTATCTCTTAACTTACTTCTCAGCGTGAGAAATACAAGGTGTGAGCGCGTGAACTGGCTGAAATGCGCGAGACTTGAGAGCCCTGCCGACAGTAATTAAAGACTTCTGACTTTAGTTGGTCTGCAAAGCAAAAACACTTTCCTCCCTCGTCTCTCCCCGATCAGCGCTCTGCTTCTGCTTCTTCTTCTTGTTTTGTGGCAGGTTGGCAGCCAGCATTTAGGAGCATTACAGCCACCTACCGGACTGGAGTGTGGAACAGATTATGTGCAGACTAACATAAAAACCAAATAAACAAATATGCTTTGATATTCCCCATGCTTTATCCCCAAGGAGGTTCTCGACAGTGAACCTAAGCTCAGCTTTCTCTATAACTGCTGCTATTTTCCTCCTCGCCTCTACACTCAACCAGCACATGTTGAATGCTCTCTACACTACTACATTTTACACAGTGCCCAGTTGGGTGTTTACCTATTTTATAAAGTGAATGGTTAAACCCTGTGTGTCCTATTCTAATGACGGTCTCTGTCTTCCGGCAACCACCCAGTTTTCTTCCCAGACCAACATGATTCTGTATACTGTAAAGATGTCTTCCAGTTTCATTTAGTTCCCAGTATTCTTGCCATATTTTTTGCATTTTCTCTTTAATGACTGTTTTAGCTTCAGATTTACTTAGCGGAACTTGTATATCAACTGACTTTGATTTAAGTGCTTGTTTTGCCAGAATATCAGCGTCTTCATTTCCTTCTACCCCTACATGGGCAGGAACCCAAACAAAGCAGACAGTCCAGTCCTTATGTTATAATCTACATAGAGAGCTATGAATACTAAATCCAGATCCAGCCTACAGACTTAACAGATTTAATACTGGTGAGCGCAGCTATCTGATGCAATGACCACCTTGCTTTCCTTATTTTCTTCTAGCCACTGTAATGCCATCAAAATGGCCATAAGCTCAACTGTATATACTGATAGATGATTCTCTTTTTAATGCCTATTTTGTATGCTGGGATGTATATGGCAGCTCCTGTCCGTCCGGTCTCTGGATCTTTAGAGTCATCAGTAAAGACCATGCGGTTATCTCTATAGTGCTGCTCTATGTAACTTTCTGCTCTTCTTCCCGTGTGTGCTTGCTTGGATTTCTTTTTGATTATTTGCTGTATATGCAGGTCAATGGATGGATTTACAAAAAACCACGGAGAAAGATCTGGATATGGGACTATTGGGATATATTTTATACTGTACAAGCAAAGGCTTTCTGCTTTCACCCATCGAAAACTGAAACAGCTGCTCTTATTGTGTTCCCAACATTCTTCTAGGTCGGCTTTAGCGCGGGGTGAGAGCTACAGTGTCCCTGAAGATTAGCCCAGTATGTTAGCATAATTCTTGTTCTTCTTATTCTTAGTGGCTGTTCCCCCATTTCCACTTGCATGGCAGCCACTGGAGAGGTCTTAAATGCTCCACTGCATGTCCTTTACACTTGTGCCTGTTCCACATCTAGTTTTTTAAGATGGCATTCTGCTGCTGACATATTTGCTATACATCCATAATCTAGTGTAGATCTCATCAAGGTCTGGTATATTTTAAGCAATGATGTTGTAGTGGCCCACCAGTCCCTTCCTGACAGACATCTTAAAAGGTTATTGATTTTTTTGCATTTGTCTTTGACCTTATCAGTGTGCTGTTTCCAGGTCAACTTTTCATCAAACAACACTCCTAACAGTCTGATAACTTTTACTTCTTCAAGGGTTTGATCATATAATTTTAAGGACACTTCTTTATGTCTCCTGGAAAACATATCACTTGTGTCTTTGCACCCGACACCTTAACACCCCAGTTATTTGCCCACTGTTCCACCTCCACAATTGCTGCCTGTAATTTTTTCTGAATAAATTTCAAATTCCGTCCTCTTACCCATAGGGTGCCATCGTCTGCATACAAGGACTTCCCAATACTTCTTTCCACTTTTTCAAAAATATCATTGATCATGATGTTAAATAGTACTGGACTACACACACTGCCTTGTGGAGTACCATTTTCAACTTTATAGAGTTGAATATTCTGTGCCCACCCTGACCTCTATTGCCCTGCCAAATAAAAAGTCCAACACCCAGTTGTACAGTCTACCACCTATACCTAATTTATTTAATTTGATAAGTAACCCTTCCTTCCATAACATATCGTATGCTTTTTCAATATCAAAAAAGACAGCTACCACAATCTCCCCATTTGTCTGAGCTTTTTTGATTTCAGATTCCAAACATAAAATAGAGTCCATTATATTTCTCCCTTTCCAAAACCCACTTTGGTATGGTGAGTACAGATCTCTGCTTTCTAGAAAGAATGTTAATCTGTCTGTTATCATACGTTCCATGGTTTTCCCCAAATGTGATGTGAGTGCTATTGGTCTATAACTTGATGGGTCTGATGGATCTTTCCCAGGTTTTACTATTGGTACTATGATTGATTGTTTCCATGCTATTGGTATTTTGCCTGTTTCCCAAATCTGGTTAAATAATCTTAAAACTACAGTAAGTGCACTATCTTCCAAGTGAGCTAACATGCTATAACAGATGTTGTCCTTCCCTGGAGATGAAGTCTTGTCTTTGAGATAGCCCTCCTTAACTCAAATAAGCTAAATCATCAGTTGTTGTGCTCTTCTGTATATTGACACCTGGGTTCATGGCAAGAATGTTATCTCTGCACTTTCTGGCTTCGACTAATAAATTCTCTGAACTGTGTACTTTAACTAATGTTTCTGCCAACATTTCTACCTTCTCCACATTACTGATTGCCGTTTTATTGCCACTTATTAAGACTGGTATTATATAACTCCTTCTGATTCCACTCATTTTTCTAGCCATTCCCCATATATCAGCCAGTGATGTCTCTCTTCCAGTCTTATTGCAGTAATCCCTCCAGTATGCACGTATTTTTGCTCTTATAGTCTTCCGGACTATGGCCTGTGATCTTTTGTAATTAATTAATGTCTCTAGTGAATGATGTTTTTTTAACTGCCTAAATGCCTTGTTTCTTCTTTTAATAGCTTTGCTACAATTTACATCCCACCATGGTCCGTTCTTTTTCACTCTGCTCCCTGTACTTCTTGTATCGTTTCCTCTGCTGCCTTTATAATGACTCCCACCAACTTTTTATTACATTGGTCCCCATCTGATAAATCTTCTCTGATTAAACTCTCACACTTATTTTTACATAATTTTTGAAATGTGTCCCAATCTGCTCCATCTAGTTTCCACCTTTTTATTCTTGAGTTTTCCTCATGATGTATCTCTACTCCGATCTTAACTATTATAGGGTAGTGATCACTACCTCCTGATGATGTATTTAACACCTCCCATGTGGTAATGCCTGCTACCCCTGATATACTAATGTTAAATCAATTGCACTTTCTGTATTTTAAACACTGTTATATCTGGTGCCACTTCCATCATTCATGCAAACTAATCCCTTATCCACAATTGATTCCTCTATGATTAATCCATTAGTATCTGTCTTTTTACTTCCCCACAGTGAACTATGTGCATTAAAATCACCGCACCAGACCACTTTGTTTGCCCACCCACAGTATTCAATGTGTCTATATTTAATCTATTGCAAGGGTTATAATAATTATTATTATTATTCTTCTGTCCAGCTTTTGACTACTATTGCTTCATGCTCTTTTCCTACACTCATCAAACTAAACCTTGTCCCATTTAGCACAAACTACCCCACCACCTTTTCCATTCACCCTATCATTCCTAATTGCTGTGTAACCCTGAATTACAAAGTCCCATTGTGGTTTAGCCATGTTTCCTGTATGCATATAATATTGGGTTTATCTTGGAGGTTTGAGATAAAATGCTTAAATTCCTGTCCATTAGCAATTAGACTTCTTGGATTCCATTGCAGTATAGTTAGGATCATGAAGATCCACCACCCCATGACAGTGCTTGTGAGCTTGTTGTTCCTCCACTTAATTGTTCCTCAACCTCCTCCCACACTAACCCCTTGATTCCCAAGTACTTTCTGCTGCTTTAACTATTATTTAGATTTTTCCGTTTTCTTCTCTGTTTGCACAGAGCAATTTACCACTTCAACCATAAGCAAAACAAACTCATTTTTCCCCGCAATCATAGTGTCTTCCTTGATTTTGTCACATCCCTCACGTGTTCTTGACTTTTTACATTCTACACTAGCTTGTTTATTGTTTGGTCTGTCTGGTTGCCAACCTACTCTCTTGGTTGCTTCAGCGTATGTTATCCCTTCTGATGTTTTAATTCTCTGTATTTCTACAGCTCTCTTACTAGCCTCGCATCCCCTGTAGGCCGAGTTGTGTTCTCCTCCACAGTTACAGCATTTTAGCTTAGCTCCATTTACGCATTTCCCGTACTCATGTTCACCACTGCATCTTCCACACCTTTGTTTGCCCTTACATACAGCTGCTACGTGTCCATATTTTTGACACTTAAAGCACCTCAGAGGTGGGGGAACATAACGTTTGACATCGTAGCACATATAACCTATATATACCTTAGATGGTAGACTTTCCTCATCAAAACAATAACAGATGTAACGGAGTTAAAAATGCACTTTAATAATTCTTATTTCCAAATTTTATCTCATTGAGTTATTTTTATTTATATTTGCTATTTT